CCATGTTCCTGGCTCTGGACGGACGCGGGGTTCCCCGGCGAGGCAGCCGGACGCGGCAGCACCAGCTCTCCACCCACTTCCTCCCCGTGCTGGTCTCCTGAGGATCACGCTGGCTGGGGTCCGCCGGACAGCGAGTAGGAGCACAGCTGTCCTCCCGCTCATCCCCACCTTGAGCTTCAGTAGGTCCCTACTGTGTGCCAGGCACTAGGGACACCAGGAGGTCTCCTGCCGCAAGGCCCGGCCTTGGGGAGCCCCATCTAGGGGACAGATGCCAGCCATACCCATGTATCTGGGAGGAGCGACTGAAGGTCAAGGCCAGCTGTCAGGTCTGGGAAGGGCTCCGGTGGGAGCACCGAGGAGACAGCTTAGAGGCGGGGACACAACAGTGTCAGACAGCACTAGGGACAGGGTGTCCAGGAGGAGGAGGGTGGGCAGGCTGCTGAGGGCAGAGCACACAGGGCCCAGAACTGTGCGTGAGACAGTGATGGAGGCAGCACCCGTGAGGTGAGCCAGTCCACAGCCTCAGGCCGGCCACCTTCCAATGCCCAGAGCCTGAGGATACGTCATGTGGACAGAAACTGCAGATGGAATCATATGCCCGACCCTAAGAGGGCGCTATCCTGACTATCCGGGGCCCAGTGCCACCGAGGGTCCCCTGAGAAGGCACGGGAGGGTGAGAGGGAGAGAGGAAGGGACCACAAGCGAGGGCTGCGGGCCAAGATGGCAACCTGGGATCACTCCAGTCTTGGGAAGAGCAGCCCTGCCACCTGTGCCCAGATTCAGCCCCGGGAGGCCCATGTCAGATGCTGCTCCCAGAACAGTCAGGTAATAAACGTTACAAACCATCGTCATCATCATCGTGTGGTCACTTGCTGCGGTGGCAGGACACATGGGCTCGAAAGCCATGTGGAGACCTCGGAGCCTCCTGGCTCTCGTGGGGGTGGGCAGGGTGAGCAGGCTGGCTGAGGGGCTCCGTGCCAGGGTCCTGTGGGGGATCAGACCTCAGAAGCTCAGACATGGGCAGTATCTCTTCTGTTAACTGCCCTCCACATTTCCAAGGTATCTCCAGCTCATACCATGACTTCCCTTCTGGGTGCTCATTTCCCACACAGTTGGCAGCTTTGGCCATTTAGTGACAATGCTCAGAAATCAAATCTTGTCTCCCCAAAAACTGTTAACTCAAAGCTCCCATTTTCCACCGGAAATGAGGACCAGCTGTGCGACTGATTGGTAGTTCCATAGCAGGGCGGAGGACAGAGGGCAACTGACAAACTGCCCTGGTCTTCATTGGCTGCCGGTGGCTGGAGACACGGATCGATGGCTGTCCATTCCAGAAGTCGGAGTCCCACAGCTGAGGACAGTCCAGGACAGCCACCCATCTCGGTGGCTTCCATCTCTGCCAAGCACCACTCCAATCAGGCTCCAGGGTTAGTGTGACCATCCATGGGGCTATCAGCTGTGGTTAGCAGGGTCCCAGCCATCGCTCTCTGCGACCTGTGACATCTGCCAGGGTTCATCTGCTGTGGCCAGGAGGGTGGTCCAGGAGGTGCCCGGCTCTGCAGGTAGGTGTGGATACGGTGGGATGCTTGACTGGTGCAGACCCCGTGCACAACAGGGACGGGACTGTATAGTTCTTCCACCACCTGGGCAGAGGCGGGGTGCAACCATTCATCCTTCCTCAGCCCCTGGAACTGGAGCCACCACCCTAGGACTCTGAAGATTGAGGTTCCCAATGCCACCACCCAGCCCCTGAGCCCCAGGCAACAGCAAGTTCCGTATCTCAGCCAGCTTCACCCTGCACAGGCCCCACCGCTGACCAGGAGCTGACTGTGGGGCTCCTGTGCTGGGGCCAGGCCCTGCTGATGGCCTGGATGTTGTTCAGCTCCCAGGACACTGACGTGGCCTGCCTGCCCCCGGCTTCCCTCTGCAGAAGTGCAACCCCCAACCCTGCCAGGCTAAACCAGACCTGGCCAGCCACACTCGGGCAAAAGGAACACGCCAAGCCACCGGCTCCTCGAGTAGGTGTATTTTAAATAGCTTTCAAGATACACATATTTCTCCCTTTAAAAAACGTCTGTGGAGCAGTTTTATTCCTGGTTCTGCAGTCCCGAGCCAGCACAGGCTGTGGGTCGCAGATGGCCCCGGGCCAGTCCTGGTGAGCAGCTCCACCCGGCCACTCCACAGATCATGCGCGGCTGCGTGTGAGCCAAAACGTCCATTTATTTCAAAGCAGTAATAATTTAAAATCATAAAAACCATTCTGCCGTGAACACCTGGAAGGCGAGGTTAGAGACAGGACAGGAGCCGGGCCCCTGAGCGCGAGCAGCAGGACCCATGTCCCTCAGGCACGGCCCAGCTCTGGTCTCTGGAGGGCCGGTCCCCTGGGTGCAGCCCGGGTGCTGCGTGCTGTGGCAACGACGGGAGTTTCCGTGGCCAGTGGCTCAGGAGTTACTTGTGGCGTTCTCATTGCTGGGCGAGCTGGAGGACGAGGACGACGAGGAGGATGAGAAGCTCACACCACTCAGGCCTGGGGGGTTTGTGGCTGTGTTCTGTCCCGTGAGGCTCTTACGGCAGACGGGGCAGCTGTCGTGCTTTGTGGGAACAAGGCAAAGACCAGGGAGGTCAGGGCTGGGACACGCAGCCTACAGGAGAGACGGTGGAGATGGAGCCTGGGGAGAGGTGGGTCCGGCCAGGAGTCCCGCTCACCTGCTCCAGCCAGGGCACAATGCAGCCATCGTGGAACAGGTGGTTGCAGGGCAGCTGCCGTACGCTCTCGCCCAGCGCATAGTCGTCCTTGCACACGGGACACTCGAGTCCGGAGCCTGCAGGAAGTGGGATGAGGCTGGGCGGGCCCTGTACCTCTAGGGCCCCACTGCAACCAGCCCAGCCCCGTGCACAAAGTCCTTGGTGTCTGACCAGCCGTACCTACGTGCTCCTCATTGACAGGGATGGTGGGCAGGGCCTGGATCTTCTCCTTGTCTGCAGGCGGGGGGCCCGTGTTCTCAAACTGGTTGAGGAGCTGAAAGACAAGAGGACAGTGCCGGGAGCTCCTCGGGGATGGGGGCGGGCTCGCTCCTGAGGGGCGTAGGCCGCCTTTCAGGCCAGCGGCTGCTGCAGGACCTGCAAAAGCACCGGGACTGTGTTCGTCCTGGCTGGAGGGAGGTCTCCAGGCCAAGAGAGCTCCACCTGCACCCTACCACCGCCCCCACTGATCCCGCCCCACCCCCGGCACACAGGTCTGTGGGGTCCCCCTCGGGACAGGCAGGGCTCAGGACCAGGGCAAGAGGGTGCCTGGCAACCCCGATGGTTTTACAACACATTCCAGGGGATGTCACAAACAGGCAAGAGGCCACGCAGGGCCTCCAGGCCCCACTGTGCTTGGCCTCTGGGGGTCACTGGGCTAGGGGTGACAAGGGAACCCTGTACCTGTGTGATGATGGCGTCTAGGCCGTTGGCCCCCCAGGCATAGTCCATCGGGTTCGAGTGCAGGACGCCCCTGGGGGCGAGAGGCTGCGTCAGGAGGCTGGGGCGGCAGGGGTGGGACGCCCTACCCTCTACTCACCAGGGGCCCAGGCCCAGGTTGGGGATGGTGGCTGGGGTGATGATGCCATTGACCAGCTGCTGGATGATCCTGGAAGAGAGTGAGTGACAGGCCCATCACCACAGGAGCCAGCAGACAGCCAGCCTGCAGGGGACGCCGAGGGCGGCCAGCACCAGCTTTCAGGTGAGCAGTATGGGTTGTTTTTTGTTTGTTGCTTTTTTTTTTTTTTTTTTTTTGGATGGTACGGAGGATTAAACTCAGGACCTTGCATTTGCCAGGCAGGGGCGATGGCACTGAGCCACATCCCCAGCCCAGACTTTGTGTTTTAAAGCAGGGGTGCCTCTATGTCATCCAGGCCAGCCCTGAACTCAGTATGTAGCCCCAGATGGCTCAAACTTGTGATCCTCCTGCCTCAGCCTCCCATGTGCTGGGATCACAGGTCTGTGCTACCACTCCCGGTGGTGACTCTTTCAAAGGGAAGACATAAAAGACAAAGCAAACCCAGCAAAGCGTCCCTTGGTTCTAGCTCTGCAGAGACTGGGACATTCGTGGGAGCTGGCTGTTGCTGAGGGTTATCTCCCTGATGCCCCAGAACATGCCCCACTGGGGTGGGGTGAGGAGACCCGGCTCTTCCCTTGGGGCAGAGGACAGATGCGTCCCCACCTTCTAACCACGGAGTGGGCCCTCTCCAGACACCCCCAGCCTCTCACCCTTCCAGTGTGGGGACACCCTCATGCCGGCCGGTAGTCCGCCTGGCTGTAAGGCGGGCACGGGGTTGCCGAGTGCCATGCCGGTGCCGGGACTGATGCTCTCTCTCCCGCCGGCCCTCAGGGTCCCTGCTGTCGTCAGCCTGTGCCCCAGGAGGGAACGTGGGGATCTCAAAGCTGTCATCAAAGATGCCGAAAGCGAACTGTCCATAGCCCTGGGGCAGTGTGAACAGATGCTGGTCCACGTTCTAGGCAGAGGGGGCACAGGGGCATGCCTTGAGCTTGCATGGTCTGTGGGACACCATGGGCACAAAGGCCAGGCCAGGCCAGGCCAGGCCGGCTGACAGACCCACAGACAGAGGCTCCCTAGCCAACACCTCCACTCACCCCCCAGGGCCCTCAAGTCCTCACATCGTGAATCCCTGAGAGCAGATGGTTGGACAGAGCTCACCCAGAAGGCAGAGCCCAGGCAGATCTCAGACAGGGCCATGCACCCTCAGCCTCTGCCCACCAGGTCAGGACGGGGGCTCACGGGGGCTCTGACTCACCTCAAAGGGCTGCCGGCTCTGGTCAGAGGGGGCTGTGGATGGGGCGGAGCTGTTCTCTGTACTCCTGCAGACACAGCGCCCGTCAGCAGTGCCAGCAACCCTCCCACCACACACAGGGCTGCACTGCACCCAGTCCTGCTCCGCTTGTGGGGAAAGTAGGAACTGCGAGGACAGGGGCACCTGTCACCTCCCTCTGCCTCAGGCTTTGGCCCAGTGGTCAGGCCAGGGGTAGCAAATCTCAGGGTGACCCAGAGGGTCCCGTGCACCGACTGTCAGAGGCCTCATGCCAGCTCTGCCGTCAAACCTGCCTTTTCTGTCCCCCCAAATGTGAATGATGGTTCCCCATTCCCACACACAGGGATACGGACCCGGCTGGGGGAGGTAAGTGACACTGTGTCCACACCCCTGCTCCAGCCTCCCTCCTACTGGCTTCAGCCCTGCTGGTTCTCCAGCCTCCAAACCACAGGGCAGCTACCTGGTCTCTTCCGGAAGCTCCTCGATGAAGCCTGACTCGCATCTCGGACAGATGTAATCCTGCGGGAGAGTCAGGCAGGGTCAGCATGCAGCCCATCGCAACCCGCCCTCCACCAGGGTCCTGTCAGCCGGCAGGAAGTGAAGGCCACTCCCTACGACAAGGCTCAGGGAACACAAGCTCTGCTGGCCATGTGTGGTGAGGGCAATGATGACAGCATCCTTGGGCTCAGCAGTTCCAGGTGAGGTCCAGTCTCCTCCATAAGTCTCCTCGCCCCAAGAGACACGGACTCAGTGCAGCTCCACCTTGACACAAGGTCTCAGCACACCCACAGCAGCCCTGGGGCCGCTCCAGAGCCCCAGCATGCGGCGCACTTCCAGGAGCCAGGTTCCTGATGTGCAGTCCCAAGGAAGCGCGGAAGACCCAAGCCACACACAAGCCGAGAGGACCCTGCTGTCACATGTGGGCAGCGCTCAGGCAGGGTCCTAGGGTCCCCTCTTGGGCACATAAGCACATACAGAGATGAGCAGGAAGACAGAATGTGTTTCTACGTTAAGGCTGAGGAGGCCCCGTG